CATGATGGCAGACCTAATCAAGCAATTCACACACACATACTGTTCTTATTATTTTAAAAATAATCATTCTCAACATTACCAAGGAAATGGGAGATAGGCCCGCTTCAAACCTGGAAATGAGCCTGGAAACTGAGCCAGCTTTTCTGGTGTCTATTAAAGTTCTCAGGAAATACAACTCTTACGAGGTCAGGGCTACAGAACAGCACCTTTAAGCCTCTGCTTGCAGCACTGGCATCCATACAGGTGCTAGTTGCTCCACTTCAGCAGATGGAAGATCTCTCTGGTTCTCTAACTCTGCCTTTCACATAGACATAAACCTTAAAAAATAAAAAAAAAAAAATTTAAAAAAAGAGAAATAAGAGGGGCTGGCATGGTGGCTCAACTGGCTAATCCTATGCCTGCAATTGCTGGGATCCCATATGGGTGACTGTGTTCTGGCTGCTCCACTTGCCATCCAGCTCCTTGCTAATACCCCTGGTAAAGCAGTCAAGGACCACCCAAAGCCTTGGGAGCCCACTCCCACGTGGGAGACCTGGAAGAAGCTCCTGAAAAAGCTCCTACACTGAGGAGCAAAGCTGTGTGTCACAGTCCTTCCTATGGCTGCTTAGGAACCCAGGCCAGCAACCTGCCAACCAGGAAATCGGAGCAAATGATACAGGCTCAGCTTCTCCCTTGCTGGCTGTCCTCAGTACCGCCAAGCAACTACCAAGGAGACGTGTTCCTGTAGGAAGATTCCTGCTCATATGTAAGAAAGATGGAATCGGATGCCTCATAGGATTCTTCATGCCCTGATCCAGCACTGACTGGCTCTGCTCAAGCCTCCAGGGAAAGAACTGGATCCAGAACCTAGACCCGACCTGAGACTGGAACTGGCACCCCTATGGGATGCCAGCATTGCAGTTAGAGGATTAGCTTGCTACATCACACTGGCCCCTCTCCGTCTCTCAAGATCATTAACGACATAAACTTGGAAAGATGTAAAAGACATACATATATACAAAGTGTCACACTGAGATCCTTATAAAACCAGCGTTTGAAGGCATAGACAAGAGCTGGCATTGTGGCACCGGCATCCCATATGGGAGCTAGGTCCAGTCCCAGCTGCTCCACTTCCCACCCAGCTCCCTGCTAAGAGCTTGGAAGAAGCAGCAGAAGATGGCTCACATGCTTTGGGCATCTGACTCATGTGGGAGAGGGAGAAGCAGCTCCCAGATTCTGGCCATTGTAGCCATCTGGGGTATAAACCAGCAGATAGAAGATCTGTCTCTCCATCTCTCCCTCTGTCCCTTTCAAGCAAATAATATTTTTTGAAAGAAGGTATTTCCAGACAATGACAGAAACAGAATGCTAACGACCACATGACCATTTTAAGGACTTCCATTATTTTCTGTGTGTAATAATGGCACAATAGCAAGGTGTCTCTTTGTTCCTTCAGAGACACATTCAGAGAGAGAGCTGCCATCAGCTGGTGTATTCCCCAAATGCCAAGAAATCAATCCAGGAACCCAGTGAGTTGAGCATCACTGTGGCCTCCTGGGGTCCACACTAGCAGGAGGCCAGTGTCAGGAGCCACAGCGGGGAACTAAGCCCAGACGTTCAAATGGGAGGCACAGTCATCATGACTGGTGTGTAGTTCATACTTCCGATCCAGGCAGCATTCCTTCAAAACAGTCTTATCTTTTACAGATACACACTGACATATTTCTGCCAATAATAGCTTAGGTTCACTTCCAAATAACCCAGGAGAAAGGGAGATGGCACACACTGCATCATGGAAAACCTATTGCACACAAAAATTTTCACATCAAAACAAACATTTTAATTCCATTTTCCCACAAACTTTTTAAGGATGTATTTATTTTCTGATTTGGAAGGCAGAGTTACATAGACCAAAGGAGAGACAGAGAAAGAGATATTGCATCCATTAGTTCACTCCACAAATGGGTGCTATAGCCAAACTGGGACCAGTCTAAAGCCAGGAGCCAGGAGCTTCCTCTGGGTTCCCCACATGGGTACAGGAACCCAAAAGACTCAAGCCATGTTAGGCTGCTTTCTCAGGTCATTAGCAAGGAGCTGGATTGGAAGTGGAGCAGCCAGGACTTGAACTGGCACTCATACAGGAGGCTGGTTCTGTAGGCAGAACTTTAACCTGCTATGCCAAAACAGCATTCTCTGTGACCTGAGCAGCAAAGGGCCAGTTTTACAGAATTCGCTTGATTCTGACACCTACTGGACACACTTCAATTCTGATAGCAGAGAACACAGTTCTAACCAGCAACCACAGGCACTGGCGTGGGCATGGTTCGACAGCATGCTGCTGGGCCGTCTCAAGGCAGAGAAGGAAGACCTACTTGCCGGTGGGGTGTAAGCGCAGCGGCATTCTGACATGGAATGCCAACATGCTAGGAGGCAGGGGGAAGGTCATCTTTGACTTCCATGAATTCTGCATGTGTGTTAGATACCACGCTGACACACAGTGCCAGGCAACAAGGAACGTCTGTTGCAAAGACTGGCAATCCTTCAGGACAAGGTGACTTATCACATGCAGTCACCACCTGCCATGTGGGTGTGCGAGCGAGATCACACCAGACATGTCTAAGGTTTATTAAGGAGTCCTTATTAACCAAGCGTGGTGAATACAGAGCACACTAGAAATAACAAATTACAAGTATCAATCACAACCCAACCAATCATAACCCCAAGAGGAACAAATGGTCATTACCCTTGAGTCCATCCATGAAGCTGAAGACCTATGTCCCAGCTTCCCCAACAATATAAGTTATTCTAACAGACATGCAACGAATAACAGTTTGAGCACACTTCCAAAGCTGCAGACATTCACCTTTCCCTGGCTTCTCTGCCCACATTCCATCACTGCTAGGCCTCACTTCTCCTGGAACACCTGATAGCACACAAACCAGAAATAACAATGCTATATCCATTGTTCCACCTAAGCAGTACACAGGGACCATGCTCCCTGTTACCTGTCCTAGGTCAGCCAAGAGTTGAGATGCCAGAGCAAAAGGAAGGACCTGACCAGAAAGATTCCCTGCTTCATGGACCCTTTAAAGGGGCATGTGAGGGGAGTGGCTACACAACAATGCAATACCAGCCCCTCTCAGTTGAATCCCAGGAGTGGCCCCCTATGGGGTTGGGGGCGTGGCTGAGGATGGAATCAACATTCCATTGCTGTTAGGACCCACCTTCAAGACAGAGGGTAGGGGACACAGCCACATTTCATTTGATCAGTCGGTGGGTGCTGGCTATCACTGGCTGCACCCCATAACACTGGCAGCCCCACATGAGCTGCTCCACTTCCCATCCGGCTACCTGCTAATGGCCTGGGAAAGGTCCAGTGCCTGGACCTCTGCACCCAAATGGGAGACCAGAACAAAGCTTCTGGCTTCAACCTAGCCCGGCCCTAGCTGTTGCAGCCATTTGGGGAGTGAACCAGTTAATGGAATCTCTCAGCAACCCTGGCTTCTAAATCAGTTTAAAAAAAAAAAAAGTGTCAGGATCTTACAGGCTGTAAATACCTCAGTTTACAATGGCCCAAAAGATTGCAAACTTCTGGAAATCTGGAGTGGTGGTGTGATGGAAAGGAATCCTCCCTCTGGAATGTTCTCTTCAGAGGGTAGACAGGTTATGCTGGCAGGAGCTGCTTCCTCCTGATGACACCGGAAGCTCCAGCTCCCAGGGGTTTGTGCCCTCTAGCCCATCCCAATAAACAGTCCTAGGCCTCAAAGGTCGGTGATAACCCTGACGGCTGGAAAGGTTTGCAGCCCAGGTGGACTGCAGGGCCAAGGCAAACTAACAGGAGAGGAAGGGGGTACTTCACTAAGCTTACAGGAAGCGGGAAGTTGTGTTTATTCGGAGGCCAAAGGAAAAACAAAAAGCTTTTGAAATGCAAAAGTCTGAGTCTGCCTACAAAAAAAAAAAAAGGTCCGGGAGAAGGATGGAAATCGGCTCCCCAGGAAAGCAGCAAAGCCGGTCACTTCCTGCTGAGGATGGAGCCTCACCGGGTGTCCCACTTCCCAGGCAGTCTGAGGGCGGAGGGCCAGGGCTCACTCCTGACCCTGTGATGGAATTGGGGGGCTGGGTAGGTTGGGGAGCACCCCTGAGGCACGGGTCCGGGAATGTGGTCGGGGGAGCCACCCGCACCGCAGCCTGAGCCCCCATTACCTTTTAGAAAATCCTCCCCAGGTGAACACTTGGGTTTGGCTCCAAGGGGGCCCAGCGGCTGCGCCCCTCGGGCTGTGCGTCCCGCCTGCCACCCTTACACTCAGCACACCCTGCCCGAGGTCCGGTACGCGTCCCGCGCAGCAACTTACAGCTTCATCGTCGGAGCCCGATTCCTCAAGTCACGACCAGCACCGCCACCTCCCCGGCTGCTCTGCGCGCCCACTCGGTCCCCGGTTATCCGACCCTGCTTCCTCCCCGGCCCTGCTTCAGCAACATCACGGGGAAGGCTAAGGGACCCGCTCCGGCGCGCCTGGGCCTGGCGCACGGGTGCGGCAGAGGTCTTGCCGAGGCAGCTCCGCCTCGTGCCCCTGCAGGGCACGCGGGCCGCAGAAGTGGAAGGGCGGATCCTCCAAGCCCGGGGCGGGCAGTTCTTGGGCGGGGATTGGCCTAAAGCGCTCGCAGACAGGTGCCGGCGGTTATAGCGAGGGACTGGGCTCGGGCCCAACCCGCTACCCGGCAACCTCAGCCCGGGGCCATTTTTCTAAATCCGCCCCAGTCCGCACTAGGAAGCCAGGTGGGGCGGAACTGTACACTTCAGAACCTGAGGGCCGTGCCTCAGTGTGCGTCGCTGTCTGGAACAAGACAATAGGGAGCAGTGGCACTTCGGCCATTCTACACTTTGCTGCTTGCACAGCCTGGGCATGAACAACCAGAACCGCATAGACCAGGAATCCCTTAGGAGACCCATTCCACACCAGGCCGAGTGCCCCTGGCCCCTCCCCACCGTGCCCACACCGCAGCAGAGAGGAGGAAACAGGTGTTCAGCCGCTGTTTATTGACACACAGGCAGGCTCTGCAGCAACAGGCCTGGATGGGCCGTGCTCGTGGGGGAAGTGGAAGGTGCTGATGGAGTGTTTGTTGGCGGTGTCAGCTGAGTGGGGAAGGGAACGCAGGTGAGCACAATGCACACAACTTGGGAGTGGGGGAGGTCAGGGGCCCAGACCTGCCAAAACCGGATCTGCAGCTTCCCTTAAGGCCCTGCTGTCTGCGCATGACCCCAGGCCAGGATTGGGAGTTGTCCTGGGGATGCATTCTATAGGAACCGCACAGTGCAACGGGTGGGGCCATGGGCAGAGCCACATGATGAGCAGCAGAGTTCTGGCGTGCCCAGTCATCTTCCAGCTCTTCCACCAACGTCCCAGCCCACCAGTGCCATACTACAGGCCCCAGGGAGCACTACAAGCATTGCTGGCCTAATGGATGGGTAGGGGGACGGGACGGGACAGTGGCTGGAGGAACGGCTGCAGGCTTTCATGGCACTGGCACCACGCGCATGGTGTTGGTGAAGCCGGAGCCAGGGCGCCAGCCGGTCAGCACAATGACCACATCTCCAGTCTTGAAGAAGCCACGGGCCTTGCCTAGAGAGAGAGAAGCCAGTGAGAAACGGGCAGGTCCAGGACCTCCTGACACCATAAGGTGGCGCCAACCTTCTTTAGCATGGCAGGCCACATCGGGTATGTCTCATGCAGGGACAGGACCAACCAGTGTCCTGCAAACAGGAGCAGCTCTGGCCAACTTGCTGACCTTTAAAGTTTGAAACCAGGGTCCTGATAATGCAACCAGGGTGCCTCGTGCCCCTGCTACCCATATGGGAGACCCCCAGCGCAGCTCTGCACTCCTGGCTTTGGCCTAGCTCTCAGCTGTTGGCACCTAGTTGAGGAGTGAACCGAATCTTCCTGTTAATACTAATCACCTTTCAAATAAACCCCCGGTGTATTGAAACACAAAAGTCTTGCTTTGGGGCCTAGGTCAGCAATGAGGGGGGCTTGCCAGCTGCCTCCACCCTTTTAACCTTTCCCTGCTGGCTCTGCTCAGCACTGCGCCAACAGCAGGGTTCAGAAGGCATTCCCCGAGAGGCTAGCAGGCCCCTTTGTCCCTAGAGGTGTGTGGGTTCAGGGTCCCAGAAGAGCCAACACCCCGTACCACCCCTCATGATGAGGGCCCTTGTTCCCAATCACGCACCAACATTCATGGCCAAGTTCACCCGAAGGTCTACATCCTCAGCCCAGGCCTCTTGGACAGGGTCCTTACACACCACGGGGAAGATACCGCGGTAGAGGTGGGCCTGACGGGCCGTCTGATGATTCCGTGTCACGGCAATGATGGGGGCGCGTGGGCGGTACCTGGCCACTTGGTGAGCAGACCTGGGACAGGACACAGGCAAGGAGACCTGTGAGCAGCAACCCACAGTTCCCCCAAGGTTTATCCCCTAATCCTGAACACCTGCTGCCCCACCCTCACCCCACAAACCCCCTACCCCAGGGGGCGAGGGCAGGGGGAGCTGTCTCCCCAGTCTGCCCACACCCTGAACTTTTCCATCTTGGCAGAGGCAACTCTGGAGGCAGGACCCAGTCCTCTTGCTGTCAGCCACAAGCCGAGCAGCCTTTAGCTGATGGCCAAATGCCAGCAGAGTGCCCAGCCAAGCGCGGAGTCTCCATTCCCGTGCTCTCCTGACCAACCTCGTTCCAGACCCCGGAAACAACCCCAGCCTCTGAGCTCTGGGGTCCAGAACCAAATGCAAGATGTAGACCCATTCTAAGAGTGACTGGCATCTCTGTATAGCAATGTGGGAAGACCACAGGGGCGCCAGTTTTGGCCTAAACCAGGAGATCTTTCTGTCTCTGCCTTTCCCTCTGCAACTATTTTAAACAGAATAAAGGAAACTTTTTGAAGTGCCTCCCAGTAGTTTACTTGTGTGGGGAGGGACCTACAGGAGAAGCAAGCCCCAGGAGCTGGTGACAGGGAGAAGGCTTTGCTTTCACTGGGAGGCAGCTGAAATCTCAGACTGCAACTCCAGCTAAAAATAGCCTCAGGGCGAAGGCAGGCCTTTCTGCAAGGTCAGCCCCAAAGGATGTTGCTGCCTAGGCAGGAGTGGACCTCCCACAAAGTGGCCCACCTGCCATCAGTGAGGGATGCTAACTCCAGCAGCCTGATCCCATACAGCCAGGCCACAAAATGCCAGCATGGAACAAACTTTTTGGGGTCAAAATCACCAGCATAAGCAAAGTTTTGACTGTTCAAAGGACCAGCTTTAAAAACTCAAGATACTTAACTTTAAAAACTTATCCATCTTATCCTGTTTGTTCCATCTGCAGACACCCCATGTGGCCAGATCTGGGTTTAGCCCATTCTATCAGCTCCTGGCCTGAGGTGGGCAGGGGGCTTACCTTGGCTCAGCACCTCCTGAGCACTGCTCCAGGACCCCTCCAGCTGGGGTGCAATAGAGCAGGGCGTGCCCGCAGGACCACTTGGCGCCTCCTACCTGCCAGACTTGGTCAGCACGATAATGGCCCCACTGCAGCACTTGAAGGAGGCCTCCACGGCGCCGACGGCGGCGGCTTCTGTGGGGTCGCTGGTAATGGGTGCCAGGCGGCGGAGTTCCTCAAATAATTGCAAGTGGTAGATGGCAGCCTCTGCCTCGCGGGCAATCTAGGGGAGCAACATCCATCCAGACGGACAGAGCTTTGTCAGACCTTTGTCGTGGAGCAGGAGAAGGGATGAGTCTCCAGACAGCAGGTGAAGAACACACTCCAGGAACAAAGGCCAAGACAGGCCTGAGGCTCCGTGACAGGGAGGCTGAGGCTCCCCTGGGGCAGTTCTTCCCCAGCTGCCTGTGACTGCCTGAGCCAGAGGACCTTGTGACCCTGCCTTGTGGTGACTTCCTAGGCTGCCTTCCTACAGATGAGCAGAGAATAGCTGCACCCAGGTGCAGCTGTGGCATCCTGAAGCAGCTGAAACGAGAGACTGTACCTGCAGCATTACCTGACCTCGGGGCCCTACCTGCCAGACTCCGTCAGAACTATCAAAGCTGCTGCTAAACACTTATAAGAAGCCTCCACGCTGCCCATGGCCATGGCTTCCATGAGGTCTGTGGAGTGACTGGAGGCTCGCACAAGTTCTTCGAACAGCTTGCGGTGGAACATGGCTGCCTCAGCCTCACGAGCTATCTGCAAGGTTCAGGGGAGATGGGGAGAGGAGGGTAGGAGAAGAGACAACACATGGAAAGACAGATGGAGGGATTAATCAGAGAGGAAGGCATTAGGGGTTAATGAGGTCAGAGGCAAGGGGCAAGGTCCAGCCAGCACCCTCTGCACCAGGGGCACGTGTGGCACGGCAAGGCAGTGTGGCCACAGGCCCTGGCAACCTGGCATGTGGACCTGCCTGGCTGGACCCGACCATCCTGCCTCAAGGAGAAGCAGGCCCCTCCTCACATGGCTGGCTGCCCTTTCAGTGAGTCAGGGAGGGAGGGGCACAGGGATGCCCACACCAGTGAGCAGACCAGGGAGGTGGGAGGCCGAAGGCCTGAGCAGGATGGCTAGTTTGGGAGGGGTACAATGCGCAGCCATGTGAGGGGACACCCACAGAAGCATGCAGGGGCTGATTAACATCTAATGATTACAACAGGCATGATATCACAGGGTTAAGACAGAGGGCCCACTTGAGCAACACCAAACGTTAGAAAATTTTAAAGTTTTCGATGATTACAATGCAGTTCCCAGCGTCTTAGTGATCAACGGGCAAGGGAGGAGTCAAATGCCATTCATTAATTTAATTCCACAGTATAAGCAGATGTGTGGGAGCACCGAGCGAGTTAAGAACGGAACACACACACAGCCCAGAGGACAGGCACAGGTCGGGGAGCCGGGGGCGTACCTGGTGCTGCCTAGCCCACCGTCACAGGTCGGGAGGTGCATCAGACAGCACACACAGGCCAGGAGACCTGGCCTAACCCAGGACTTAAGGTGTTTCTGCTTGGGAAATACCACTTACGGGAGAAAGTGTGTTATGACTCAGAATCTTAGTCTCCATTCCTACTCCAGAGCTCTAGGTCCTGGCACACAGCAGGTCACAGGCAGGGAAGGCAGGCTTTGGGATCAGTAGCCTAGGCACTTGGGTGATGTCACTCTGACCTTACATAAACTGAGGTGCTGGTAGCCATAAAATCACATCAGTGTGAACGGTGACTTAACACAACACCAGCAGCCAGCATGCCTCCTCTAATGCAGTGTACAGATAAAGGGGATTGGTTAAGTGGCTCTGCCAAAAGATGCGAGAAGGTCTCTTACAGTCCACCTGGTTCATGGTTCAGTGAATGCAGGCAAGCTGAAGCCACCTGCCCACGGGAGGTCATAAAAGTCACATGACTGAATGAGCAAGGCAGGGAAGAAGGGTAAGTGGAGACCGAGGGGCTGCTTCTCTCCAAGTGAGTGGGCAGGAGCACTGTGGTCAACACAGTGAGCGCCGAGGAGAGCCTGGTTTCCACAGCCTCAGCAGGTTGGGGTAGGCACTCAACCCAGGATGCTGCGGTCAGGAAACCCGGCCTGCCACCGGAATGGTGAAAACATACATCTCATCTACCTGTCTTGGCTGGCTAACAGGACATGCACAAGTGGGAGGAAGGGTGGCACGCAGGGTACTGTGGAGACTTGTGGGCACTGGGAAGGGAAAATACAACATCTGAGGATAAAGGGCATTGCCACAGCTGCATGACAGGCTGTGCCAGCTCCACAACAGGAAACCCAGAGTGCACTGGGCATCGGGCTTGAGTGGCATGACCATCCTCAAAGCAGAAGAGGGGAAATAACCAAACCCTGGAAAAAGAGGTCAGGTGGGCTAGGGTACTATTCAACACAGGAAGCTCCAGTTCCAGGGAGCTGCGGAGGGGACCACAGGGTTGGCCACCCCTGTACAAGTCTCTATTTGGGGCTTTGCTGCCAGTCATTTAAGCAACTTCCTTGTCTGGGGTGAGTATGGCAGCTGCACCTTCAACAGACAGCAAGCAGGTCCTGCTGCAGGCACCATGCAAGGTCAACACAGGCCCCTAGAAGCATTTGACACACAAACTAGCTGAGCAGGAGTTCTCGGTCTTTCCCAGATCAGGCAGGCATAAACGGGCCTTCTAGCCCATGTGAGGACTGTCAACTGTCCATTAAGGGCATCATGATCCTCCACACAGGAGCAGACGGGATGTGAGCCCTGCACCGCCTCCGTACTTAGATGAGGCAGAGCGTGGTGGTGCAGCCTGTGGGAGAAGGCGGCCTAGGCTCTGCAGCCAGGCTGACATGAAGGCTGGCGCAGGGTAGGCCCCGCACACTCACCAGGTGCTGCATGCGGACCGCCTCCAGGGGGTAGTCACCCTTGGCGGTCTCTCCAGACAGCATGATACAGTCAGCTCCATCCAGGACCGCATTGGCCACGTCACTGCCCTCCGCGCGAGTGGGACGGGGCTTCTTGATCATGCTCTCCAACATCTGGAAGGGGAAGAATCCAGATAACGCTCTGCTGGGGCCAACCCAAGGGACAGGAACCCAGGGAACCAAGGAGAGGGCTACATGCCTGTGTGGCACAGATGACTGGCTTCCCTGCACGGTTGCAACGTCCGATCATCATCTTCTGGGCAAGGAAGACCTTTTCTGCAGGAATCTCAATGCCAAGATCACCACGAGCCACCATGATGCCGTCACTGGCCTCCAAGATCTCGTCAAACCTGACAGGAAAGGCAGGGATAGCACAGGTCATGTCCCACAGGTGTCCCACAAATGGTGACAGACACCATCCATACTCCTCATCCCACTGGAGCCCGGAGCCAAGCCCCAGAGCAATGTCAAATGGGAAACTTCTCAGTCATCACCCAGCCATTCTGTCTCAGTCCCCGACTCGGGGAGCCTGGCGGACAGGGGCTCACCTGCGCACGCCTTCATGGTTCTCAATTTTGCTGATGATCTTGATGTTCTTCCCTTTCTCACCCAGAACCTTTCTGACTTCATGCACGTCAGCTGCCTTGCGGATGAAAGAAGCAAACACCATGTCCACGTCCTGTTCCACCCCGAACTTAAGGTCCTGGATATCCTTTTCCGACACTGCGGGCAGGTCCACAGCGGCCCCAGGCAGGTTCACACCCTTCTTGCTGCCCAGGAAACCACCGTTCTCCACCTCCGTCACCAGGAAGTCAGGACCTGCGGGATAAAGAGCAAGTAGGGGAGGCACAGCCACCGACAGGTGCCTTCCTCCCTCCACTGATCTGGGGAAGGGACCCACTAGGGCTTGAACCCACATAACAGCGTTCATACCCCAGCACCACTCACTGCATAATCTTGGACAAGCCAACAATCTCTTTGCATCCAAGTTACCTCAGCTTTATAGGTGAAAATACGAATCCTTAGTTAACTAAATTTAGATTTAGATGGAAAATTTTTCTCTCTCCTTCTCCAGTGCCAGAGAGGCACAGTGCCCCCCCCCACGATTTGTTCTCCCAGGTCAGAGGATGAAGGAGTTACAGTAGAACTTCTGAGAACACACAAACTCAATCTTCCTGGAATCCAACTGAGCCTACTGTGTGAGTGGAGCTGGGTTCAGCTTGTGAACCTGCCTCCCCACGCACCTTTCTGCTTCACTTGCAGGGAGATGAGGCCATCATCCACGTAGATCTTGCTGCCCACGTCCACCACCTTGCAGATGTTCTTATAGTCCAGCCACAGGATGTTCTCATCGCACTTGTCCATGTAGGCATTGTCCAATGTGATCTTGAGCGTGGCACCCTTCTTAAGCTCCACCTCCGCGGTGCCACTCTACAAGATACAAATCGGCAAGAGTCCAGTTGGCAGAGGACAATATCCAGTCCCCGAGGACATTGGGTTCCAACCTAAGACCTGCCCTGGTGGATGAATGCTCTTCTCTAACTCAGCATACTTGTATGGGTAAGATATAAAGAAACCCCTCCTCAAAGTCAGAAGTAGACTCCTTTGTGGTACCAGTGGACCAGATCAGCACTGTCTCCAGCCAGAATAAAGCTCTCACTGGAACTCAATGCTGCTAAGGTGTGATGGTCCCCATGCTGGGAACCCCGCTGTGCCTTCACTACCCCAGGATACTCACGCCCTTGATGAGTCCTGTTCGGATCTCGGGGCCTTTTGTGTCCAGAGCCACAGCCACTGGCCGGTAGAGGATGGGGTCTGAAGCAAAGCTTTCCGTGGCCGTGCGCACGTTCTTGATGGTCTCAGCATGGTACTGGGGAAGGAACAAGAGGAAAAGTGAGGCCCATGCTGGGGTCAGGCAGCATCCTTGTGGCAGAGCCACAACTGCTCACTCGGGAAAGGGCTTAGGTGCACCCACAGCTTCACTTCCTTGCACCACAGCATCTCAGGCTATCCTCTTTTCCCAAGGATTCACCAGCCACCTGGGCTGGGCTAAGAGTGACCCAGGTGGCAATGCTGAATGCTTTCCCACCCCCATTCGATTCCAGCTCTAGTTCAAACATGAAGTTATTGACTTAAAAGGATGACTTGAACACCTCCCAATGAAGGTTACATAGACCTGGTTTCGCCATCACTGTCCAGGGTGTGACCTGAGGAGACAGGAGCTGGAAAAGGTGCTCACAGGCCCCTTTCTTCCAGCTGCTCTTTTGCCAAAGCACCCCAGCACAAATCCTGGCACCTGTTTTCTCTCTCCAGGCAGGCCTTTTCCTCATCACCTGCCATTGCCATTCAGTCAAAAAGGGAGTTAAATCCAGATAAGATGTCTAGAGTTCTCAGATACGGCAATCAATACAGCACTACTGATAACAGGGTCACCTAATTCAGTATTTTATGGGTTTGGCCTTTAACCACTGCTGCCTGCCTGTGGGTCACAGCATACTGCAACCAGAGCACTGTCTCCTGGGATGACACTGCCTGAGGACTCAGACTGACTAGGGAGACAAAGTCAGGACAAGGCGGTTTGTTTTTGTAGCCGGTCCTTGTAGCAACTTACAAAAAGTTCTTTCACTATACTGCTAACTTGTAACAGGCATCATTTATTTTGCATTAATTTACTGAAGACTTTTATTTGAAAGATACAGAGACAGAGATTGGTGTTCCATCTGGTAGATTCTCTCCTAGGTTGGGCTAAGTTGAGGCCAGAAGCCTGGAACTCCCTCCAAGTCTCTCTCCCACATGGGTGGACCATCTGTTGCCTCCCAAGATACATGTTAACAAGAATATGAAATGGAAGCAGAGAGCTGGGTACACTTAGATATAACACCTCAAATGCCTTTCCTCTAAGGATTGAGATAACATTTGAGTCAAAAACCACATCAAGCACACAGTATGGGTTATGTATGGGTTATTTTTTCTGTTGTTCCTAATGTTCTTAGCTAAATAGTTTGAAACTTCTGCTCCCAGAATAAGCCTCAAAGCTTTTTTCACTTCTGTACTGGTCTGGATTTTCATTAAAACATGTCAAGGTTAAGTTTTGTATAGCAGTTAAGAATCTCCGTACCCTCAGAGCTTGCTCCATTATCTGGGACCCAGGGAGGACACTGGGTGGCTCTCACCATCCCCAGGTACTAAGGTGGTTAGGATGCTGGGGGGAGCTTCTTCTCTTCTCTACCCCAGATTCAGGAAGAAAACAATCCTTCATCCCTACTCAGTGGTCCACAACATGCTTCCTTCTCAACTACATAATCATCCCCCAAAATAAGACTTCACTGATGGGGCCAACTCTGGAGTAGCATGCAAGCCCATCTACACGGCCAGCATCTCACATGGACACTGGTTTGAGCCTTGGTTGCTCCACTTCAGATTTGGCTCCCTACTACTATTACGCTTAGAAAAGTAGCATAAAATACCAAGGGTTTGGGCCGCTGCACCCATGTGTGAGTGCCAGTTGGAGCTCCTGGATTTGAACTAGCCAAGCTCCAGCCATGGAGGCCATCTGGGAGTGAACCAGAGGATGGAAGAGGTCTCTCTCTTACCTCTGCCTTTCAAATAAATACATGAAACAAACTCAAAAGCAAGACATCTGCATTTGCCACGCCACAGTTCTCACATTGCAGTCCCAGATGCACTTCTGATCTGGTCTCCTGTAATGCAGACCCTCGGAAGGCAGCAAGCAATGGGTTAAGTGCTCTGTCTACAGAGGCTTTGTTCCGGTCTAGGCCTGCTTGCCATGGACACTTGAGGAGTGGACCAGAGACATCAGGTATCTCTTTCAAATATTTTAATAAATATTAAATAAACAATTAAATAATAAAAATAAAAATAAAAATAAAAATAAATAAAATAAATAAAAATAAAAATAAAAAATTAAAAAATAAAATAAAAATAAAAAATAAAATAAAAAATATTAAATAAAAAATTAAAATAAATGTTCAAAATTGCCAGGTAAGGAGTCTGCCCAACTTTGTTTTCTAGAACATGAGGTTTCTGTGGTGATATAGAATATTTACATTGTGCATAAGGCATTATGAAACCCCATGTTCAGCAAGAACAGAAATTACCCACATGTCAAGGCAGAGACTGAGGGTATGGTACCACAGCTGCCAGCAGAGAGAAGACACGGTGGTGCCAGGGCGTTTGGCTCAGCACTGAGGACGCTACCTGCAGGGTCAGGTGTTGTGGTACAGAAAGGTAAGCCAATGCCTGCACTACCAATATCCCATGTGGACCCTGGTTCATGTCTCGGCCGTTCCACTTCCAATCCAACTCCCTGGCAAAGCAGCAGAACATGTCCCAAACGCCTGAGCCATTCTACTCATACGGGAGAAGCTCCTAGACCTGGGCTCACCCTGGCCCAGCACCGGCCACCACAAGCATCTACAGAAACCAGAGGATGGAAGATCTCCCTCCGTCCTTTATTCTATAACACTGCCCTTCAAGTAAATACTTTCCTTATTTAAAAAAAAAAAAAAAAGAACAGATGCTGACAGCAATCAGAGTAAGGCAGAGATCTTATTTTGCTCTACTCAGTGCATTTATAATGGTTAAGAACTGGAAAAACTGCATCACTGCTCTAAAGGCAACAGTGCCCATGCAGCAGTCACATCTGTCCACACTGGCACTACCAGCTCAGGTCCACTGCCAACATGCCGAGCCCAGACAAAAGCTCATCCAGGACCAAGACCCCAAAAGGACCACCAAACACGTGGTGTCTGTCTTCAATTCCATGTTAATCTAGGAAGAATTAACAACAGATAACCTCTGAATGTTTCTGTTAAGTTTAAAATCCCAAACGTGAACCGTAGTCTGACAGGTGCAACCTTTGCCATTTCAGAGCAGGGCGGTGTTGTTTTACTGGGTGGCGGGAACATGCAGCCAGCTGAAAGGTCAGCTGCTCAAAATCTATTTCTGCTCCTGCCCCAGCACTCAGGCGGCCAGGGTGGACACCAGCAGCACAGATCAATGGTGAATTGCCTTTGCTCTCCCAGTGCCTGAGCCCCTGCTTTGGAAAAATCAGGATCTAATTCACAGGGAAGTGTCTTCATCACTCTCGGGTGCCAGTTGGTCCTGGCTAGGTGTGCCCTTCTCCCCCACACTAAAGACGCCTGATGATCGTAGAATCGGGGCCACAGCATCCACGATGAAGTCTCATGTTTCCAGAAAGCAGAATTGACCCCACGGATTGCATTTCCTGGACTTTATTTTTAGTCCAAACTTAATACCAACTTCCAAATGCCAGATGACCCCTCCCCACTGACCTCACAGGAGAGTGCTTTCCTGACTCTGAAGGGGAAGGGCAGAGGTCAGGACAGGTCAACCAGCCTCCACCCTTGACTCTTCCATTCCTTAGGGAAGCCCCCCCGCCAACCCTCACAATCCCACATTTCTGAACACAGCAGAATGCCAGCTGAGTAGAGCCTGGAAGGGGGTAGGTAGGCTGGGAACAGCATGCTGACAGGGCAGGGCACTGGCTTAGGAGAGGCAACCCTTTGCAGCCATAACCCAGTGAGGGCCAAGGCAACAGAGGATGCTGCAGAAGGCTCAGGACAGTGCAGTCAGCACACTTCACACCTTCCTTAGTGAAGGCCGAGGCAGCGGTGGCCATTCGAAGTGGCTGTGGATGGGCTAGTGTATGCCATTTTCCTAGTGGCTGAGAAACCTTGAACTTAGAGCAAATTGGTGAACATGATGAACCCCCTGTTTCTCACAAGGTGTCCCAGCAGCCACTGCTCCACTGAGGCTCACCTCATGAGTTCCATGGGAGAAGTTCATACGCGCCACATTCATTCCAGACTTAATCATCTCCTTCAGCATCTCCACCGAGCGGGAGGCAGGGCCTGTTACGGAGTTGAAAGCCACAGGTGTTAAACATTTCCCCCAACTTCACAGGGTCTGGTCTGTGTCTTGGCTGCTTCATATGCTCACCGATGGTGCAGATGATGCCTGTGTTACGAGCCGTGATGGGCGGCGAGTCGATGTCTAGGCGGCACATGTGCTCCAGGAATGTGTCCGCCATGGCTGCATGCAGCTGCTGCGTCTGAATGAAGGCAGTACCAGCTTCACTGTGGGGCTTCGACATGGCTGCTGAGGTCCTGGCTTCGGGGAGACTGCTGACAGAGAAAGGGGACTGAGCAGGGCCTGGTACATCACTTGGCCGAGGCCACATCCTGCTGACACATTAACTCGGTGAGCATGCGCTGTGCACATGCTCCCAGGCAGTCAGACACACTCTGGTCATGTAGTCGTAAAATTGGGCAAAGGGTTTGTGGGATCCGGGGCAACCAGGAAACACCTCGGCAGATGAAGCTGTACATCTGGTGTGGACATGTCCCAGGGACCTGCCACAGGCGGGGCTTGGCAGGGCTGCAGTCACCCCACAGAAGCCTGTGGAAGCCAATTCTTCCAAACACGAAGCAGGATTACTACCAATGCCAGCTCATTTTGTATGACAAAGCCTCACAGCCACCATGTGCCCTGGCATGGGGCAGCTACAAGTCTCTTTTACACTCCCCACCCAAAACCCAAAGTGATTACACCAACACCATCCCTGTGGAGAAGTCATCCTGGCTCCTGTGTCCTGGGTTTTCTTAGCTAACCCAGAGAACCCTATTAGAGGTACCCAATACCAAACCCCCTCTCCAACAGCAACAACAAACTCAGTCCAACAGGCTCCCTGAATGCACAATCTTCCTTGTCAGGAGCTTCTATCTCAAAACTACTCCCACTCTTGGTCAGAGGAATATAGAATTTCAAAGCAGTTTGCATACAACTAAGGATTACCATAGTGGCACTGGTGCAGCCCTAAAACGATTACATTAACAAGATGGGGGCTATGTGATCAAATGTTTCTCCCAACTGATGTTGGATACACCATCTGAATTCCAATGCCAATTCTGACCTTACGAAACACAGAGGATGGTTCCAGGCAATTAACCAGCCCAGGTCACAATCCCAACAACTGCCCTGACCTTTGCTATACTTTATTGCTGACTTACAAGGAAACTCACTCAGCTGCTTCAAGGACATGTCAAAAGAAGCTTCCGGGCAGTCATAGCTATCAGATAGAGATATGAACTCAGATTCAAGGCTGCTCCTTCTACAATCCCCGAGTTTAAAGGCTTCCACCTACGTTCAGAAACTGGCCCCTCCAAGGAAGCCGACACTGTAACTCAATAGGTTCAACTGCCAACTGCAGTGTCAGCATCCCATGTGGGCACCGGTTAAGTCCTGGTGGCTGCACCTCCAATCCAGCAGGTGGCCCAGGAAGTTGGGTCCCTTCACCCATATGGGAGACCTGAAAAGGCTCCTGGCTTTGCCTGGCCCAGCAGAAGATATATCTGTCTCCTCCTGCCCTCTCCATAACTCTTCCTTTTCAACTAAAAGAGCTTTTAAAACAACGAACTAGGATATAGCCTGCGTTCTTTCATTCTCACATTGCCTATATCCCATATTGCAGCACCCAGTTTGGGACCCAGCAGCTTTGCTTCTGAGCAACCTTGACAGCTGTAGATAATGGCTCAAGGACAATGGTCGCCCATACTGGAGACACAGGATTCACAGCTCCCGGTTTCTGCCAGCCCAGCCGTGCTTGTTATAAGTGCTTGGAAGTGAACAAGCAGATGGAAGATCTTTGCCTTTCTGCCTTTCAAGTAAAGATAAATCTTGAATTTCATGCATTTTTCTGTCAGATATAGAGGAGGAGAGATAGAGAGGAAGATCTTCCGTCCGATGATTCACACCCCAAGTGAGCGCAACGGCCGCTGCTGCACCAATCCGATCAGATCCGATCCCAGGTACCAGCAACTTCTTTCCAGGTATCCCACATGGGTGCAGGGTCCCAAAGCTTTGGGCCGTCCTTGACTGCTTTCCCAGGCCACAAGCAGAGAGCTGGATGGGAAGTGGAGCTGCCAGGATTAGAATCAGTGCCAGGACTTTAGCCAGTAGACCACGCCGCCGGGCCCTATTTCTTAGGAACTTTTTGAAGATCCTCTGTAAAGGATTCTTACTCCTTATTCTCCTCCATCAACTCCGGATGTCTCCCTGGATACAGTCAGCCTATCTGCCATCTCCAAGATTAGACTGCAGCACAAGGCACTATGGGACTGTCAGTTATGGAAAACAGGACTATATTCCCATTTGCAATTTTCAAAGTGGGGAAGGATACCAGGTAACCATTGTGCACAGCACAGGCCTGACTCATACCTAACTCAGTAACACACCACAAAGCATGATCAGAAGGTCCTCTCTTCCTAAGCTTGAGTCAAGTGCTTGCTAGATGGACCTGATGTCCAGCTGCACCATTTGCTTCCCTCTTTGCCCAAACCTGAGGAACCTCAAATTGCCAACAGCATGGGTTGAACACCTTCAGAGCGCCCACAGGGGCACAAGCCTGGCCGGGAAGGCATTAATACCCATACTGCCTGAAGTACAACCACAGTGTCATCCAGTCCAAGGACTGAATGTGGACTCAGAAAAAAACCCAAGAGGAAGGCTGGAGGGGCTCAATTACCTTCATAAAAAAAAAAAAATCAGCTAGGACTGGTGCTGTGGTGAAGTGATTAACACACTGCCTTGGGCACCTGCAGAGTGCATCTGAGTTCAGGTCCCAGCTTCCTGCTCAAGTACACCTTGGATAGCAGTCGGCAATGACTCAAATTCCTGCCACACACACACACACACAGGAGACCTAGATGGAGTTCCAGGCTCCTCTAGTCTGCCTGACCCAGCCCCAGCTATTTGGGGAAGCAAGCCAGCCCCAAGAAAATGGGAAATCTGGGTGGTGACTCTGCCCTTTGAATAAAATACCTAAGTAAAAAAAAAAAAAAAAAAATCATGAGTTGATCCTTCCTTGACCCAAGATGCTTGGGTTTCCTGGCACAGACCTAGCCGGGGCCACTGAGGATCAGTCATACCTTTGGTTCTCTGGACTTGGGCTTCCGGTGACATAATGCTCTTTTTTTGGTTCAGGGCGGCTCCTTGGCCCCACTTGCAAAGATCGCTCAGAGCTGAGTAAGGTTTGCCCTGGAGAGCTGCACGAGGGTTAAGGTAGAAGCAGAGAGTGACTAAAGCTCTTTGAGGTAGTTACCTTCTTCTTCAGGTGTCCAGGTGGTGGCTGCAACTAGACTGAGCTGGGTTAGAGAACAGCACGCTTCCCCCCAAAAATGCAAAGATGTGGTTAACAGGAAATCCTCAGGTACCCTCTGTGGTGCTCTATGTCTCCCCTCCTTTAATACTCCAATCCTGCCTCCCAAGTCCCTTGAAATCTGTGACTTACTAATACTACTGGCGTTATTCTGCAAGAGCCTGGCCCCTCCTTTTCTTGGGTCATAGAGGGACACCAAATTAAGCATCCATTACAGAATGCAAAGCTATGTTCCTAAGTTTAAACAGGAGGCTATCTGGGGGGAAAGATTACAGAAAGCCTCTTCTTTTTGCTACTGATAAATTTGCTGATACATAATACTCATATGGACCGGGGTAAAAAAAAAAAAATCATAAGTGACTCTTGGCGAGCTGCCCAAGAGTGGGGAGCAATCAAGAGAGCCCCAAGTTCACAGCTCCTCTCCTGGCTGCAGCCCACGCCCTAGACCACAAACGCCAGCGAGGTCATTTTGATGGCTCAACCTTCTCCCACTGAAAACCTCTGAGAAGGAAAACAGAAAAACATGTTAATAAATGGATCCATAATACAGCCCCATGCTCCAATACGGCCAATTCCTTTTCCTGTTTAGTCTGTTCTCACAGGGGAACTTTTGTGACAAGGCTGTGGTCCTCCAGGACCCAAAGTGCCACCAGCAAACCACTATGCTGGTCTCGAACATTTAAACCTGAAGCAAAAAAAAAAACGAACCTTAACTTTTGGCCAAGAAGTACAAAAACGACAAATGAAAATGTGCATAGTATTTTATGAATTCATGCACCAAGCAGTAGGAAAAGGCTTGCTGGGTCTGCCATCACAGTACCCTTTAGTGATCACTGAAGTGATCCTGTAGTAAGAGTCCCAGCTGCTCTGTTCCCACCCAGCTGTACTGTGTAGGAAAAGATAATGGAAGATGAACCAAGTGCTTGGTGGCTCAGCTACCCATGCGGGAGGCCTGGATGGAGTTCCTGGCTCCTGGATGCAGTCTGGCCCAGACTTGGAAGGTTCTCCTTCACTCTATCTCTCAAACAAACATTAAAAGAGGGGAAAGAAAACCACCTCGTTTTTCCAGCAGGTCTATCCAGACTTCAAGATCTCAGGTATGTCATTGAAACCCCTGGAAGCACACCCACTTCTGACTTGGGGCCTCCGGACAGAGATAGAGCCCTACTGCTGGAGCTCCAGGTCCTTCTGCCTAGCACCAGCTGCCCATCCCATCAACTAGGTACCAGCAGAGACGCATTCTCTGGAATGGTCCCTGGCCACAGAGAACAGCCTTGGTTTTTCAGGGGATGCCTCCTGGTCAGTTCCTACTAGGACACGCAGCTCCATCCAGGGCTGCGTGACTCACTCCTGCACCCTCCTCCTGGGGAGGGCACAGACCTGTAGAGCCAATCTCCAGCCAGCCGAGCGAGGCTGAGCCCCTGAGGCAGGATCCTCCTCAATGCCATTGCCCCTCCGCTGCAGCCCAAGGTCTGTGCTGCCTGGTAGCCGCAAGTACAACTGTTCTAGGTGTTCTGCCCTTTCCTCTCAGCCCAGCTGGCTTCCAGTGCTTTATGTAACACGATTCCTTTGTGCCAGTCACACTCCTGCGGCCATGCCTCAAGAACAGAGGCAGGGTGGAGTATGGGTACCCACAGCCAGAAATAGGCTGTGCTGAGAAAGATCCACACTTCATCCTTCAAGTCCACCTCTCACAAAGACCCCCATCATCTGACCCAATGAGCCCGGCCCGCCAGTGTGTCGGTTACAGCTCCCTGCACCAGTCATGCTTTGATCGTCCTCCTCGCCCCTTGGACCAACCCAACAATGACAGACCCAGTGCCCACTTCCTCCTTCCAACACTTCTGGCAGGTGTCCAGAATTCTGTTCCAGGCCAACAAGCAGGCACACAATTCTTAGCTCCCAGCAGGAAGGCTGGGTTCTGACACACCAACTTCCAGATGCTCCCAGGAAGCCTTCAACAGTGCAACATAGAAACAGAACATCCGAGGTTGGCCCCAAACAGAGCAGAGCCCAGAGTGCAGGCAGGTGTGGGTGAGCACTGTCCGTGGGCACTGTGGACACACAGGGACAGTGCTGCTGCTTGGGACGGGGAACGTCTTCACCCCCAACAAAACACACAGGAAGCAAAGCCTGGTGTAATCAGGCTATGCGGAACAAAATGAGCCCATGTGTAAGCTGAAGTACAAACTCTCAATTGCTCAAAAACTTAGAATATTCTCTTCTTCTATTCAGGCATCTAACCAAGCAACTTAAAACCCCATCAGCTGGAGCCTAAGATCCTATCTCAAACAAGTCTGTGAGAGCACTAACAAGCAGATACCATCACCAAAGGCACTCCTTCAGGGCAAGTGGTGCAGAGTAGGAGGCCTGGGTGTCCCTGGATATCAAGGAGCTCCTGGTTCCAGCCTGAAGAAGGAAATCGGGAATGCAGTCTGATGTGAAGCCAGAGTACAACCAGAGGGGACAATGGCCTCAACTGCCATAGGGTCCAAGCAGGGAGGACAGAGGACAGGACCCATCAGCTTCCCAGACACCAGCCTTTCCTCCGACCGGCCTTCCTACTGCTGCACTCACAAGGTGCCACCATCATGTTTTCTATTAAACAAAACCCACAAACAAACCAGAACAGGTCCTTACCACTTAAAACACATTTTCTTTACACCTTGTTAAGAGAGCAGAAGCTAATTTAATGCAGTTCACCTTCCCTCCGTGTTTAAGCTTCTCCAACCCAACCCATCCCCCCCCCAACACACAACTTCAAGAATTTACTCCAAATTGGCTCACTAAGTGTAGTCGTGTACCTAGTTGCACACTGAATGCCGGGGGTTGGCAGCCTTCAGGGCTGATCCCCAAGCACACTGCATCACTGAGCAATTATTTCCTTCAGCACTCCCAGTGGGAACAGAAACCTAGCATCTCACTGAAGCTCCTTATCAGGCTCAGATCAGCTCCCTGACCACTGCCCTTTCTGCCCTGGAAGCCAGTCCTCCCAGTTAATCTACTCTGGAACACACACCTCTACTGTCTTATATTCTTGGGTCCTTCTTTCCAGTGTTAATGATAGAGGGATGTTTCAAAGGCTCCTCCGTGCAGGGCACGTGGACAGCGTGTCCTCCATGCCAGGAATGACTGCTAGAGCTGTGGCAGAGGAGCTGAAGAAACCTTATCTGTAGGGTGGTTAATGTTTGCAGGGAACCTTTCTGATTGCAGAGTTCAACAGCAGCTAAGTTGGTCCAAACTGAAGTGCCAGGACCAGCAACCTCCCTGGCCTAGTTTAGCTGGTCTTGGCCTCTGGCCCACAGCTTGCCAGCAGCAAGAAATAGCAGCTTGGAGCTCTCAAGGAGCTTTGCGGATGGGCCTCAGAGGCCACCAGAGGTACTGCAGCTCTCCCTCCTACGTGCAGCTCCGCACACACCACCGCAGAGGCGGGGCCTTGCCACTTTGTTGAATTGCTGACCAGCCCCCCACCTCAGGGCAGAGCAGTCCCACCAGGATGCCAGACCTACAGCAGGCAGCACACCACCCCACATCCTGGCTTAGTCTCCACCAGCTTTTTAAACAAAGGTCCAAGTAACCAATCAGGCAGTTCAATAATCCATGCTCAATGAACTCCCCAGCAAGTGGGGGGAAGTGTTCTAAAATGTGTTCTCAGTCTCTTAGCTCAGAGATCTGCAAGACGGTCCACTAAACAGCTCACCAGGGCTCTCAAACAAAGCCTCATTGAAGCTCAGAGGAGCAGCACATTCTTGCGGTGGACCAGTTAGCTGGGATCTGACTGTGCCCATCTGGAGTGATTCAGAAACATAACCAACGTCCCGTGAGTCATTCTCCTCAACCTTGACTGGGCCGCAGTTCTTGACCAAATGTGACACATCCCGACTTGCCTTCATAGAAGCTGAAGTTAACATGCAAGTCATGCGAGTCTGGGAAATACAAGTCTTCATTTTTTCTTCTACCTTCCTGTGCACAGCCATTTCCCCATTTCCTACATTGCCTCAATGTTAAGTAATCTACAGCTTTAAGAAACAAAACTGAGTTTCCTGTGCCTCAAGCAAGGGGCAGGCTGTGTGCAGGAAGACCTACCAAATTTTGCCAAGTCACAGGCAGTTGCAGCACGAAGTTTACCAGCTAATATGCTTTCTGTAAAACTACTCCTAATGCAAGGCTTACCATGCAAGCAGCTGACTGGAGACCAGTGCCTGTGCATTCTGCCCCTGTCGTTATCTATGTGCTCCCCAGCAGAGGCTGCCATGCCCACCACAGAATGTTCTGGAATGAAGGTACATAGCAAGCGTGATGGGGGCACCACAGTGCTCCACCACTCTACCAAGGCTCCTAGGGAGGGATTCACAGAGACCTGAACCACCCAATTTCCCTGTAATGAGCCACTTTTAATGGCATGCCCCTTGACTGTTTGAAAGGGCAGAGGGGACTTCCAAAGCCCCACCGCCAAGTTCCCCCACTCACCCACGGAAGCAAATTCTCTCAAAAGCAATCAGGTTGAAAGGCTGACTCATCTTCCCCACACAGCCCCCCTCCAACCCCTACCGACCTGGTGAAGGCTGATATTACCTTTACCCAGCATGAGGTACCCCCAGGCCAGAGGGCAAATTATTTGCTAACAATGCTTCTACAAGAGGGGTTCTGACCTAGGTCCCCCTCAGGGTCTCCCACAGGCAGTAACTGGCCTTTTGTCTCCAACTCTGTGTTGGGTATCCACTAAGGGCTTGAACAAAGCTTAGAACACGAGGCGGAGCCAAGGGCAGTGCTAAGCCTCCCACCGCCTTTTGTCTACATGTCCCCATTCCCAGGAGATAACAGTTACACTGCCAGGGTCACCAGCTCCAGGAGCTGTGGTCGTGAGAAAGCCACGGAAGATATATGAACTGGGAGCACCTACTGGGGGACAGCAAGAAGACTTGGGAACCCTCGAGTTCAACTGTGGATCACGTAGCAGCACTTTCTT